ATGCTAAGCACTACATGATAGAAGCAGGGATCAATTTGGAAGAAATACTTGAGAAAAAGTACCCAACAATCAATAGCATATACAAGATGTTAAGGAAGGATCACCAGAAGGTTCAGTGGAGAAAGCTGGTATGCAATAATGGAGGAATGCCAAAGTGGAACTTTATACTGTACATGGCTTTACTGGGCAAACTGAGTACCAGGGACAGGCTAGCAAGATGGGGAGTAATAAATGAAACACTATGTCCTATGTGCAAAGTGGAAGAGGAAAGCATGGAGCACCTATTCTTCAGATGTTCATTTACAGCAGGAATATGGAGCAAAATACTACAGTAGATGGGAATTAACAGGCAACCGATGGAATGGAGTCAAGAAGTAGATTAGGCATGCAGCAATGCTAAGAGCAGATCAGCAATTTCTGAAATCTATAGAATAGCACTAGCAAGCTGTGTATATCAGGTGTGGCAGGAGAGGAACTACAGAATTTTCCAAGCTAAACAAAAGCGAGAGGGACTACTGACCAAGCAAGCTATACAAATGATAAGTGGAAGGGGAAACACGATACCAAGACTACATAGAAGACTTGAAGAGCTGAACTTTTATCCATAAGGGATGATGAATACTGAAAATGTAAATAGAATAGTGAATAGATAATCAGTAAGAAGAATAGGAGTTACATTGATGAATATTAAGTCCGGGAGAATGTCCAGACTTTGTTGCTTTGTTTTGAGCTGTAATTTCTTGCGTTGGTAATAAAATATGATAATTACCACAAAAAAACAATGGTTCTAAAACAACCATCTGCTTGTAAAAAGGATCCATTCGTCCAAAATCCAAGGATCTAAAGGAACCATCTGCTTGGAATCATTTCTTGGTAAAAAAGATCTAAACCAACAATCTGCTTGTGGGGCTGAAGCCAAGAACGCAAGAACAGAGTCAAAAATTCATCCAAAACTTCAGTCCAATTTTCGTTTCAATCCAAGCTTCAAGCATAGGTTTCGTTCACATTTCGTAGAAGCAGAAAGCTTCACTTCGTTCAAATAATTTAAGAAACATGTATGTTAAGGCTATGCCCTTTTCATTTTGCATGATCTTGTCATTACACGATTTTGTTAATGAGCCATAAAGAAAAATTTATATCCCGGAATTTACGTATATTTGGCTAATCTCGTAAATTACATATATTTTCTTAGTTTTGTAAGTTACAATATTCTCCTTATTGGGACTTCATATTCAATTGAGTATTTTCTTCTTCCAGTCAAGAGAGCAGAGAATTTACATATATACAGTACTAAAAGTATTTTCATTACCATCGAGCTATAATCGATGGGCAGGCCCCAACTGGGCAACCTCTAATCAGATGGTAAGTTATATACCGAGCCTGCTGTGGCCGAGCGCCTACGAGCAAGCCCTGTTGGTCGAGATACAGAGCCTAGTACGGTCGGACGTGTATGAGCGAGCCTACTACGGTAGAGCAGATATATATACATACCGAGCCTTATAGGGCCGGACAGCTATTTTACTCACTATATTGAGAGAGTTGAGTCAGTATCAGCTGATGAGCATATCCTCATATTATCTTTGATCCCCAGTAGCTTTCAGTTATTATATTATCAGTTCAGTTTCAGCTTCAGTATATTGCCTTACATACTCGGTACATTATTTGGTACTGACGTCCCTTTTTAGGGGCGCTGCATTTCATGCGTGCAGGTTCAGACAGACAAACGGGTAGACCTCCTTAGTAGGTGTTGCCCGAGTTCAGCTTTATCGGTAAGCTCCCCGTCATTCGGAGTTGCCGGGTTTAGAAGTTTTGGTATGCATCTTGTGTATATATAGGATATGGGTAGGTCGGGGCGCCGTTTCGATCACAGTACATCTATCAGTAGAGGCTTGTAGACATATCCTGTTAGTTAGTGCAGTATGTTGGGCCTGTAGGCCTTGTATGTATATTTTGTGGCTTGTCAGTTGTAGTAATTATGACGGCCTTGCCGGCCCAGCCTTATGTTGACATTTAGTCAGCGTTTGTCTCTATTCATTTTTTATATTTTGCATCGTACATTATCTTGTAATGTGGCCTATGGCCAAAGTATGACATTACATGTTCAGAGACTCTTAGTCGCAAGTGATACGCAAGGATAGGTGAGGCACCGAGTGCCGGTCTCGCCCCTAGGCTTGGGGCATGACAAAAGTGGTATCAGAGCAGTTCTGTCCTAGAGAGTCTACAAGCCGTGTCTAGTAGAGTCCTGTTTATGGTTGTGTCGTGTACCACACTTATAAGCAGGAGGCTACAGGGCATTTAGGATTATCACTCTTTCTTCTTACTCTAGATTGTGTGGTAGAGCTCATATATAAGAATTCAAATTCCGGAATTCTATTTTTATTCGTAATAAGATGATGCCTACATCCGGACAGAAGGTTGGAAAGAGAGATAGTTGTGGAAGAGCTGAGGAATTGATTTTTTTTATGATGCCTATGATAAGTAAATATGAGGTCTTTAGCAGATCATGGGTGTACTGAAAGGTGTAAGCTTCCTGATAAGAAGCCTTATATTCAATAGTAACAGAGGTATATACAATTGGTCGCACCCATTCCAGATATGCCTTATGGGGGTTAACAAAAGTAGTATAAGAAGATATGATGAATGAATTGATTGCGTCAGTTGACATTTCCGAAGGATATTACAAATGTGCTAATAGATCTCTTTATGAGACACCTAGATGGTGCACTCTAAAATAGTGCAGCCAGATATGAGTACTACAAAGACATGCACTATAAGCCTTGAAGGGATAAACATTACCTTAGTGTGGCTCGTGTCCCTAGTAAAGCGAGAACGTTATATACCGAGCCTAATGTGGTCGAGCGCCTTTGAGCGAGCCCAGTTGGTCGAGATACAAAGCCTAGTACGTCCGAGCGCGTATGAGCGAGCCTACTACGACAGAGCAGATATATATACATACCGAGCCTTATAGGGCCGGACAACTATTTTACTCACTATATTGAGAGAGTTGAGTCAGTATCAGCTGATGAGCATATCCTCAGATTATCTTTGATCCCTAGTTGCTTTCAGTTATTATATTATCAGTTCAGTTTCAGCTTCAGTATATTGCCTTACATACTCGGTACATTATTTTGTACTGACGTCCCTTTCTGGGGGTGCTGCATTTCATGCGTGCAGGTTCAAACAGACAGACGGGTAGACCTCCTCAGTAGGTGTTGCCCGAGTTCAGCTTTATCGGTAAGCTCCCCGTCCTTCGGAGTTACCGGGTCTAGAAGTTTTGGTATGCATCTTGTGTATATATAGGATATGGGCAGGTCGGGGCCCTGTTCTGATCATAGTACATCTATTAGTAGAGGCTTGTAGACATATCCTGTCAGTTAGTGCAGTATGTTGGGCCTGTAGGCCCTGTATGTATATTTTGTGGCTTGTCAGTTGTAGTAATTATGACGGCCTTATGTTGACATTTAGTTAGCGTTAGTCTCTATTCAGTTTTTATATTTTGCATCGTACATTATCTTGTAATATGGCCCATGGCCAAAGTATGACATTACATGTTCGGAGACTCTTAGTTGCAAGTGATACGCAAGGATAGGTGAGGCACTGAGTGCCGGTCTCGCCCCTAGGCTTGGGGCGTGACACGGAATTTCCAAAATAAGCTAATGTTATTATTTTGGGTTTGTTGAAGAAGAGAAATAAACAAGAGCAAAGCTGAAATGGAGAAGAACATTGAAGATTAGTTTATGTATTAGTGTAGTATGCAGTGTGAGGTTGTATTTTGGATGGTGTCCAATTTAATCTAATTTTGATTGGTGTCTATGTATTTGATAAAAAGTAGAATGAATTGTAATATTTAGAACATAGGATGATATGAGATGATTATTCCTAATTTTCATGATAATCGCAACATTACTGTGTGGTCAAATGCTTTCTTCCTTCGTTTATGGTTGTTACATAGACTATCTCGATCGACCTTTCTTCAAGAATTCTTCCAGTAATAATTAGAAATTTATTATTTTCTTTTGATTGCTTAGGATTATGGTATTAGTAAATAAGGGATAAATTAAACTAACGTGGCTAATTAAAATTGGCAGTACTCCTTGGTTTACATTAATTCACCACTTGAAATATAGACACTGCCACAATAAGAACTGAAAATTGCAAATTTGCGTAACAAAATTGGATAGCAACAAAAATCTGGACAGTATCACAAAAGAGCTGTTTACCTAAAAATCGAGCAGCTACATAAAATACTGCCAAAAAGAAAGTTGTAATTATCTAATTACATACCAAGCATACACCAAAAAAACTAACTTAATTAGAGAACAAATCTATGTTGTTTCTTTGGATGGAGATTTTTCAGTTTGAGATCTTGTTTGAATCTTAGTAGCATTTGCTTTTTTTGGACTCTATGCATAGTACCTTTCATTTGGAATTCTCTTTTACTAACAGCTGGCTTCCTTTCCACTTTAAAGACTTGTTAGGCTTATACCCTATATCGCCGGTAACTTATGCGGAATTCATCATTATAGGTGTGGTAAATAATCTGCTGCTATGCAAACCTTAGTGAAATTATGAGAAAAATATTTGAATATAACTCCAAAAGATAATAGAAGTAATAAAGTGATAGCAAATTGGGAAAACACTTACATTACAAAACTATAACCAGTCTTAGATACAAATACACCATTTTCCACAACTCTTGGACTCTTGTACTTACTTCTGCTCACTCTAGCTTCACCTCCCTTGCTTATAGATTCTTGTTGACTATCAACAACACTTCTCTTTCTTGTACTTTCAGTTAATGACTGTTGGGAAGCATTATACTGACATATAACAAGTTAAAATATAAATTTGTCAATAATTTAAAGGTAAGCGGGGTATATAAAATTTACCTCTGTTGTGACTACTGTATTTCCTGTAGTTGTTGTTGTTCTTGTGGCTGATGTTGCATAAGGCCTTGAAGGACAACTTTTTTTATTATGTTTACTGGACTTGCAAATCGATCATGTCATAGATATTCCCATTTTTGATAACTTTCGAGCTCTTTTAATTTCTCCTTCCTCCTTTCTTCTATTCTTCTTGGTCCTGCCAGGCATTTTTCTAACTGTAGGTGGCTCAATCTTTGGATTTGATGTAGTTGGCCACATTATCATATTGGGGATAGGTTGTATGAAATTGGAATAAGCTCGCAAATATGTCTCCTTTCTGTACCATGATGAAATTGACTCAGATGCATCAATCCTCCTAAATTGCATTGCTATTATGGCATGTGCAAAAGGAATACCTTTCAGTTGCCATGACCTGCAACTACAATATCTTCTTTTCGGATGAACAATAAACTTAACTATACTTTCCATAATTTCAAATCCATGTTCTCCATTCCAATAAATCTTATACTTCATTGACTTCTCCACATTAATGTTGAAGTACTTCAGTGCCATTGGAAATATCTCATCCACCCAAGTTTCAGCAAAGGCCCTCATCTTAACTATCCTTATTATGATCTTGACTCTAATTTCTTCTAGTATTGACACAATTGTCTTGTGTCTAGCTCCCAATATCTAGGCATTAAACCTTTCCGACATATTATTGTCCACACTGTCAAATTTGGAGAATTCTTTGAACTAGAATTTGCACCATCTTTCTTTGTTGTATAAAATAATATCTTCAACAATATTGTGTCCCAATGTATTTAATTCATCTAGCCTTTTTTAAATTCGGCCTCAAATATTGCTCTAGCACAACTTCAAAACTTCTTCCTTCTCTCAATTTCCTTCTATTTTTTTGACCAGTTACAAGTGCTACCAGAATTTTTTTGCAGAAGCACATCTCTATAGTCAAAAGTCTACCAAACTCAGCAATATGATCTCACATGACTTCTTTCAAAATATTTTTTCTTGTCTTTAAACAAATAGCCTTACCCACATACACACCAAAGTCTTCCCTGACAAGATCTTGTATTTCCCACCCTTTAATGGTAGGTTGTGAAATAATCCTCTCCTTATAATGATTGGCTAGATATTTAGAATTACAAAGAAAGTTGATGTTGGTCTTATGGCATTTATGTCTAGGATTATATGTCTTGACTGTGAAAAATTTGAACTCCTAACTTCATTGCTAGCATATATCATCCAAGGACAACCATCTTTGCACTTCATCCTAACTCTACGTGGCTCATTCTTGTATTTGTCTAATTGAACCCCTTTCTTTACAGCATCTCAGTGCCTGCATCTTCTTCAGAGGAATTAATGGAATTGTTTACATCTCCACTAGCAGAACCTTCTCTCTGAACATCACCACTGGCAGCATCTACTTCCTCTCTTATATTTTTTTCAACCCTTTCAGAAGTGTTTAAAGAATAAGGAAACTCTAGATCTAGATTTATAGTTGGAACTAGTGTAATTATTGGTGGATGTGGACTAAATAAAGGCTCATGTTCCTTGTGCCCCATTTAGATTAGTTAATTGACTACCACCTCCTTTTTCACCATTCACATATTGGCCAACATGCCCCACATCCTCAAAATTAAAGTCATTGCAGATAAATATATTATCACGAACCAAATCTCAACCCGTCGTGATGGCGTATATCATGATACTAGGCAAGCCGACAACTCATACTTACGGACACTTTCAAATTCATATTATACTAAAACAAGTTTAAATAAGTGAAAATCTCATAAAAACTAGATGAAAATATCACAACCCAATACAGAAATTTCCGAAACCCGGGCGTCACTAAGTACATGGGCATCTATACAAATACACAGTCTCAGTCTATACCGTCTAAGAAAGTAGAACTAAATAAGTAAAAACTGGCGGATAGGGGAGGAGATTCAAGGTATGCGGACGCCAAGGCAACTACCTCGATAATCTTCGAACGACTGAAAACTCTGAGAATCAGCAACCACCATGTTCGGAAATACTTGGATCTGCACGCGAAGTGCAGCGTGTAGCGTGAGTACAACCAACTCAGTAAGTAACAAGTCTAACTTTTGGGCTGAAAGTAGTGACGAGCTTTACATGTACAATCCAATCACAGAAATATAGTACAGAAATATCGGCATGGTTTCAAGTTTAACAGATAAAGTTCAAACAGGTAAATATGTCAAGTGTAACTGAAATGAAAAATAATACATCTCGATATCTACATGTAAGTTATGTATACCAACTATAATACAAAACAGTGATGAAATCATATGCATACTCAGAGTATTAATCACTCAGTCCTCCCATTCACTCCATCCTCACATTCACTCATTCCTCACAACCACTCAATCCTCACAACCGTTCGGCACTCGCTCTCGGCACTCGCACTCGCACTCGGCACTCAGCACTCGCACTCACACTTAGTAGGTACCTGCGCTCACCGTGGGTGTGCAGACTCCGAAGGGGTAGATCTAGGCCAAGCGCTATCATAAGCCAATCATGGCATGAATCAATAAAGCATGCTGCGACGTGCCGCCCAATCCCATAAATATTCTCACAATTAGGCCCCCGGTCTCACTCAGTCATCAATCTCTCTTGTATCTCGGGCTCACAAGAACAATCAGCCCAAACAATAATGATATGATGTATCAATAAATGGCAACTGAGACTGAGATATGATATGCAAATAATAACTATGACTGAGTACATAATTGTGAATTAAGCAAATAATCCAATATGCGACATGACCTCTGTGGGTCCCAACAATATCAGCATGTAGCCTAAGCATGATTTCTAACATGACTCGCAACTCAATTTATTTAACACATGAAGAATATACAGATAACAACAAGATTATTCAACTATGCTATTCTACAAAATCGACCAAGTCACAATTCCTACGGTGCACGCTCACATGTCCGTCACCTAGCATGTGCATCACCTCGACACCAATTACATAACACGTAATTCGGTGCTTCATACCCTCAGAACCAAGTTTAGAAGTGTTACTTACCTCAAATCGTGCAAAACTCTACTCTAACAATCTCTTGCCTCGCGAATCGGCCTCCAAATGCCTCGACTCTAGCCACAAACAATTTGATACAATCAAATTAAGCTATAGGAATCAATTCCATATAAAAATGTTAAGTTCTTAATCAAAAGTTAACCCCCGGGACCACATCTCAGAATTCGATGAAAGTTACAAAATCCAAATACCCATTCAACCACGAGTCCAACCATACCAAAATTACTCAAATCCGATACCAGAATCTCGCTCAAATCCCCAAAATTCGGCCTAAGAAGTTTTCTCCATTTCCCCCCAATTTTTCAATCCAAATCACTAATTAAATGACGAATCAAAGATATAAGCATAGAATTTAACAAAACTAAGTAAGAATCACCTACCCCAATGATGATAGGCTATAATTGCATATTTTAGTCGCTTATTACACTCTAATTTACTGCACTTTAGTTGAGTTTGCGCTTTAATCGCTAGTGTTTTGCACTAACGGTGTGTTTTATGCCTTGTAGGAGTGATTTCGAGATATATAGATGTTATGGAATGAATTCAAGTGATTTGGAGCTTTGAAGTCTGAGTAAAAGCCCAAGGAATTAAGCCGGGATCGTATTCGGGGGTCAAATTTGATAATTAAGTACGAACGAAGACTCGAGGAGGCATGTTGCGTACTGTCTAGTAAAATAGACATAACTTTTTTCTCAGAACTCCATTTGGAATCCACAATATATGGTTGGAAAGCTAACTCAAAGGGCTACAACTTTCATGTTTTACGTTTTTCCAAATTCCGAACGGAATAGGGCATAACCGCGCTAGGACCGCGGCAGAATACTGCTGCAGATTCTGAAGGCCACTCTGGCCGCAGTCCCGGCGTAACCGCGGTAGGACCGCGGCAGGACGCGTAAAATTCAGGTACCAAAGTGCAAAATACGGGATTTTAAGCCCTAAACCCTATATTAAATGAAGGAAGCTGGCCAAGAAACGAGGAGAATGATTTTTGGAAGTGAAAAACATCATAAGGAAGGGCAAGAGGCAAGGAGGATCATTGGGCATCAATCTTTAATCTTCTTCTTTGTTCTTTTACCTTTGAATATGAATTCTTTTGTGGTTTTTGTTATTTTTATGAGTAGCTAAATACTTTAGTCTAAGGTTTTGATGGAACCTATTGAAGGATGAACTTCTTGATTATGTTAATATAGTTTGCCAGTTAATCTCTATTTGTTCAACTACGTGTTTGTTGTAGTTAATTGACAGGATCCTCAATTGGTTGTGCCTATTTAGTGTGCATAACTCGGAAGAGAGTGCATATTTAGGTAATTGTTGAACAATACCACTCCCAAAGTATAAGAGGGATCTATAACTGCGGGTTTAAAGGCGGGATTAGGGATAACGAAGCCTTGGGTGCAATCTAAAGTGAGCTGTAATAAACAAAGTCAGCTAGCGTATCTCGGGAGAGTGCGTCTAGTAAATTATCGCGATTACTCGGGAGAGATTTACGATAAAAAGAGTGCTCATGATTGATAGAGATGGTTTGGTGAATCTATATGAAACATAACCGAAAGGGATTCCATCAATAGGGGAAATCACTACCTTAGAACCTTCTCATTATTGTTTACAACCCAAGCATATTTAGTTTACAGCTGTTTATTTACTGTCAGTCTTAGTTAATAAAAATACCATCAACTATTGTTTACAACATTTGGGGAAGTTGATTATAAAGAATTTAGTAAATCCAACAAAAGTAATTGATAGGTTAATTCTCTGTGGATTTGACTCTGGGCTTAAATACTCAGGTTATATTTGCAACGTCCGCGTGTATTTTTATAAGGCATAGTTGGGCGTGATCACCCAATCACTCCTTTGAAAATCTCTCCAAGAATCGCCTCAAACCGAGCTCCCAAAATCAAATTATGAAATAAACTCAAACCTTTATTTTTGAGATTTAATATTCTGGCCAGATATCCCTTAATCGCGATCGCGGACAATGCTTCGTGATCGCAAAGCACAAACTCAGCTGCCCAAGAATTAACCTTACTCGAGCACGACAGTCTCAAAGTGAACGTGAAGCACTGCCTCCTCAGACCTATGCGATTGCAGACGCAGCTACGCGATCGCGAATAACACATACGCAGAACCTAACTGCCTCACTTCCTCTTCGGGAATGCGGTTGATCATGCCGAACTATGGCTTATAAAAAGTACTAAGCGGTCGTTGCAAACATGATCCGGTTTACAAGTTTGGACTCGAATCCCACAGAGAACTAAGGCTTAACTACAGTTGTTCACTATCGCTAAGAAACACAAGTCCAAACAATTACCTAATTATAAAGATTATGATATTTATTTCTATCTAATTAACTAACAAATCAAAAAAGCAGTAAAACTATCAATTAACAAGGATAATGATTGGAGACAAGATTAAGAAGGATTAAAGTTATGATTTCCCCAATTGCCGGAATACTTTTGCTGCGTCTTCTATAATTTTGCCTAAGTATTCTCTACCTATCGTGAGTACTTCAGGTGTCGTAATTCTCTTCCGA